AGAATGAGGCTGAGGCCTACAAATCGGGCACGAAATAATTGAATTTTCATTTCCGTTTTATGTGTTTACTTTCTGGCGCTGAACATTTCACGATTTCAACAGCCAACGGCCAATGGGCCCACAAATGAGACAGAGCCCAGGCGGGCATGGCCTTGCCCACTTTTGGTTTTATATGCTCCACTTTTCCTACTGATTTCAACCTATTTGTATACAAAAGCTCAATTCTCCCGTTTCTCTCTCTCTCTCTCTGCCTTGGCTGGGGCAAACTTTTTAAGTCAATTGTCAAAAAGTTTTTAACGTCTTTTGCTGGCGAACACGCCCACTTTTCAGCCTTGTACAGCCGGCTGCCGTTGTAACTGAAATTGAAATATAATTCGGTAAAGTTTTTGCCGTACGTGGCCATAAATCAATGGCAGCCAAAGAGGCGGACAACTCAAATTGATTTAAGCCTACCAATGCGTACGGTGGGCGTGGTCGCCAATCAAATGAGCCACTGTCACATAATGTGGTCAACAGCTGCTTGCTGAGCTCTCGATTGAAGGGTTTTCCGAGTAAATGAAATGCGAGCAAACTTTTTGAAGAACTCGTTGAACGATGAATCTGAATGGAGCTAGACAAGGGCGTAAGCAAAAAAAGAAGAAGAAGAATTCTCTTTAAAGTTTATATTTATCTTTATCTTTATCTGTTTTGGCAGTTGTCATAAATGTGATATGTTCGTTAGAGTGAATTGAGACACTCCTAAGTGTGTTAAGGGATTCCTGTACAAGCATAAACTTGTAAGGGAATGAAGTAAAATACTTTTATGAGCATTTGATAGAAACATTGGAAAACTCAAATACTTGGACTGCTCAGGAGAGCTCGCTAGCAATATATATATATAAAATACTCATCGAGAGTCACTTGGGAATCGACTAAGCATTTGCTATTTTTATGAGTATTTGATCTAGATTTTATACAGGTTTGATGAAGATGAACCGAAAGAAATATGAGTTTATTGAGAGTTCAAGGAACTCAATTCAAATATTCTTAAAAAAAAAAACAAACTCAATTAATCCACTACCTAAATCTCATTAGATGTTGCTCTAAACACCGTTTCAGCTCCAATCATAAAACGTTATATGAATTCACCTTTCAAATAAAGCTCAACTGACATGCTCACAATATTCATATGACACTCATACTATTCACGTCAAGCACTCACAGCACAGCACAGCACTCACTCAACCGACCAACTGTAGTTGGCATCCATTACGAAATGTTATGCATAGCCATTCGCTGCGGTTACTCATCTCTCTCTCTCTCACTCTCTCTCTCTCTCTCTCTCTCGCTCTCTCGCATCTCACTCAGTTTTTGATGAGCTATTCGCGACGTTCCGCTCTGAGCTAAATATGCAGGCATCTTCGGGCTCTACGGGTTGTAAAATTTGCAACTATCCATAAAAAAAGACGAGAAAATGAAAGAATGATGGAGAGAGAGTCAGAGTGAGAGAGAGAGAGAGAGAGAGCGAGTGAAAGACAACAGCCAGGGCAATCGCTGAACCGCAAATCGTGAGTTTTATGACTGATTCTGGCGGTGGCATCTGCTTTGCTCTAAGCACTTGCAATCACATTGCCTTTTTACAGTATTTTCTGCAGTTTTCAGTGTTCTCTTATGCCCGCCTGATGAACGACCTAAGGAGTTGTATTGGTCTTTGCGGCATGACTGTTCGATTGATCAATTGAGAGCTAAACATGTATGGAAAGTTCTTCAAATTCTATTTGGTTAAGGCTAGGACTTTAAATTTTTCATTTTTGCTTGACTATTGGTCTGCTTTATCGATATATATCGATAAAGATTCGGGTGTTCTCTATAAAAGCGCCTCCGGATAACATTTCTAGTAACTGTTGTGTTCAATAAAAAGCCTTTTAATAAACATTTTTTGTCTTCCAAGGCTTAAGAATTGGGCTCAACAGGTTTTACTTATAACTAACCTTAGTCTAAAGGCTGAAGAATATACCTGAATATCACATCAACACTATAAACGAGTATTATGCAGTCGGTTAACAATTGCATTGTTCTAACTTGTTTATGTTGCTGCATTAAAAACAGTATAAACATGCGCCATGTTGTCTGATCGAAATATCCTCCTTGACCCTCGCCCACCTTGCTTCACTTCGTGCTGTTGTTGCTGCTGGTGTTGTTTTTGTCACATGTCAGCGAATGCTCGAAGTTCAAACCGTGCTTATTGCTTGGTTCATTTTGTGCTCAGCGCGTCACTTGCACATTTAATTAAGTTTACGGCACGCTGCACACGTAAAGGACGATGGGCCAGGGGGCTGGCGATGGGTGGCAGGACGCAGGATATCTGGCTGTTAAGCAGAGGGCAAAAGGGACGCTATTAATTAAATTGCTTTATACAGTTAAGTCGCCAAGCCAAAAACTTTTTTTGTATCTGTAACTGTAGCTGTATGTGTGTGTGTGAATGTGTGTGTGTGTCAACAATCGGAATATTAACGAAGCAACTAATGAGACTTTACAAAAGGCGCGAGACATTCGCTGTATTCTGTATCTCTCTCTCGCTCTACAGCTCCCGCCTTCTCTCTCACACTCGTCTCTCTCTCTCTTGCTCCGTCACTTCATCTGCAGACAGAAACTAACCGAAAGGCTTATTAAATGTTTGCTGCGTAGCGTATCCACCTGCCAACCATAAGATCAAAGGCCTGCCATTTCGTGAAATCCTTTCGGACTGCCACAAATCATGCATTGCCTGACAGACAGCGAGACAGACGCACAGTACGTCCAATTATTGGCCAACTCCTGCTCCACTCACACTCCCTCTCCTATTCTCTCCCTCTCTAATGCTAAATCCGCTCAGTCTGACTGGCCTACATACTTAGCCCTTGTAACATGGGTCGCTTTAATAAATAGCGACAACAGCCAGCACGAATCACTGGCTTAACTGCCGACGACCTTTGAGGAGTCTTTGCCTAATAAAATGCTACTGACTTGAGTCGCCGTCTCTTGAAACTCTTTTCAAGGAATCGCCCATGAAATATGTATGCAGAACAAGCATAGCTTTTGTTTCTCTAAATGAGGAAATCGTAGAGAGGAATTGATAATTGTTTGTGTTGTATTCTCTGCTTGTTGTTTACTTAAATTTAGCCATTTTCTGAATGCAATTCAACTATATAATTTATATATAACTCTACTCCAGTAAATTAAGTGCTTGGCTAATCGCTTTACTATTGATTTGACTGACTGCTGCTTCTATCTTATAATCGCCTTTAAGCTCTCACCTAAACTCCTTTTACTAATTTTTGTTACACTTTAGCTCAATCCCTTTTATTAGCTACAATTCGCTAGTCTTTTCTCGCTACTCATTCATTCTCTTCTCTCTCAACTGCATCATGCCACACTCTTGTTGCTGTCCAAGCTCTCAGCATTAATCTTCTCACATCAATTTCTCTTGCTTTACCTTCCCTGGCACATCTGTTGCTCTAGTGCCCGCCTCACTTTAGAGTTATGAGCTCTCTTGAGCAGCCCTCGCCTTACGATCTGATACGTCGGCAGAGTCATTCAGGAGCAGCCAAGATAAACATATGTAGAGAATGTGGCAGAAGCTCATTAAATATTTAAACCGCTTGCCGTACGTAAATCCAAATCGACTTATATTAAATACGCTCAAAACAAACAACAGAGAACAGAGAACCAGCCGTTAAGCAGCGAGTAGAAAAAGGGAGCCAGCGGGCATACAATGTGCAGATCCCAAGTGCAGCAGGAGCAGCAGCAAAAAAAATTCACTTCCAGCTGGATTGCGTTTCCATTGACAAAGTTAAGAGTTGAGAGTTGTTGGCTCATGGCAATCGGTTTGTGGCATTTGCATTTAAGCTGATAAGCAAAGTGCTGCCGCCTGCAAGGCCAGGTGTCGCTCACCTGCGTCAGCTGCCGTTACGCGAGCATCGAGTGTCGCAGGCATTGGAAATTTACATTTGAGGCACGCACTTTACATTATTAATGCCAGACACTAAAGGTGTCGAACAGCAACAGAAATTAGTTGCCAACGGTAAGTTATACCTGCATATGTGTGGGGGTGTATATCTGTGTGTGTGTGTGTGTCTGTGTGTGTGTAAATGCTCCAGCCATTTGGCAAATCTATCGCATTTCGTTTGGCGTGTTTGCACATCTCGGAGAATTTTCCAATTTTTGCTGCTAATATTTATTAATCAAGTAATAGCAATACACGCAAACACACGCACACACACATATATACTATGTATGTGTGCACGCTCGCTTATGAATATATGAGTGAGGCACTTGTGCGTGCATTGTTTTTTTGTTCTTGTTGTTATTTGATTTTTTGCACAAAAATTGATTGGAAATTTATAAGCTAAACTTTTTCACAGCATTCTCTCTTTTGACTTGGACAAAAATAGGAGATATAAGAATGTTTGCAGTCGAGCGTAAGCAATAGCATAATACTCGCTGCATGGGTATATGGGAATGTATTCATATAAATAACACTCGAACAGTGCTCGCTAGCCCCTCGTAGAGGTCTGCATTCCGTGAGCCTATTTTGCATATAAAAGGCAATACACAGGCCTGACACCAAGCCAATAGACTCTCCTTTGACTAGCTGAACGGGCATAGAAAACTTTTTCTCTGTGGCTGAAAATTTTCTGTTTTTCGTATCTGCCGCCATTCGCAGCACTTGAAAAGGTCGCCGCTTGTGCGCAGAGTGTGAGTATTAGTGAGTGTGTCTGTGTGCCTGTGTGCCTGTGTGCCTGTGAGTGTGTGTGTGTGCGTAGTGTTTGGCTATTGAGTTTTCGTATATTGCCTGGCCATATGCTGAATTACAAGTGGAAACTTTAACGTGCTTTCAAAAACAAAAACTTGAACTGGATTTACATAAAAAACTCATTTGATATATACCCAAACCAGAGTGAATATATGCATATACATATATGTATATTGATATTCATATGTATTTATACAAAGTTGGCTTTGTCACAATTCAGGCTGTCTGTCAAAGTGAGCCTGATAGGGCGACAAACTAAAACAAATCATTCAACGTAAAAACCTCGTAACGTGCACATCACAAAAAGTAAGTGAAACAAATATTTAGAGATCAAATAGTAATAAAATAAAATTCCAAAAAATAAATATACTTGATATAAAAAATATATATATATACATTTAAATAAATTCCAAACCCAAATAAAACACATTAAATCAACAAAATATTATAATAAAAATAAATATATACAAATTTAAAAATTTAAATCATTGAATAATCAAATATAAAAAGCAAACAAAATAAAAATCGGAAAAAAATATATATACATATATTTTGGTGATAGTAAAAATGTAATAAAAAGTATTAAATTATAAAAATTATAAAACCTAACAAAATTTTACGCTGCCGTAAAAAATAAATAAAAGAATTATTATAAAAGAAATTTTGGTGAAAGTAAAAATGTAATAAAAAGAAAAAAATAAAATAAAAATAATATTAAATATATATAGAAAAAAATGTTTAAATGAAAATATACAATCAAAATATTAAATAAAATTATACTATGAAATAGTATTTAATTTATAAAATATAATAATATATAAATAAAAATTTTAATGAAAAATATTAATAAATAAATAAATATATTAATTAAATAAATTAATTAAATTGTAAGCCTATTTTAAAGCTGCCTTGCTCTCCACATTCTCAGCTCATTCAACTTGTATTCTCATGCAAAGAACTTTCAATTACTGCCGAAAATAAGACCACCAAGAAGAACTATGGAGAAGCTATTTGTTAGCATGTTGATCTTGATTTGCTGTGAGTATATAAACTGAAATTAAAACGCTAAACTATTTACGATGGGCCTGCTGCACACACAGATGGCTGGCTGTTGGGATCATGCCAGGCAATGCTCATCAGAGGTGGCGATGGGCTCCTCAATGCCACAGATATTAACGGCATCAACAACAACAACATTAACAGCTACAACTACAACAATGAATCGGCACTGCCCGTTTTGGCCACAGCCTTGGGCACTGCAGCCGTGGCCGATAGGCAACAAGTTAAAAATGCGAGCGAAGCTGCCGCAGCTACTGCTGCCGACATAACAGCAACAACTATTGCCGATAAGGACAAGGACAAGGACATGGACAAGGACAAGGAAAAGGATCTAGAGCCATCGAGTGATTTGTCTGCTCATTTACATCGCAATAAGCGTCGCATGTCTGCCGTAGAGGCCTTGCATCATGGCCGACGTCACAGTCCGCCAGCAGCTGATGGTGGTGCAGCACCACCTTATGTCTATTATAATAAGATGATATCGCCGGATGGCAAGCAGGAGCTAAAGGAATTTCAATTGATGTCACCCAATATGGTCATTGAGAGCGTGCAGCACGATATGAATTATGGGCCAGCTGCCGATCTGGGCGGCGGCGTTTTGCTGCTCAATTCCGATAACAATTTGAGCGGGCGTATTCGTGCCAAGCCACCCAGGCATCATCACAAGCACAAATCATCGCTGGCCCTGCCGCCCTTTCTGTTCCTGCTGCAGCAGATGCTGCAGCCAAACCTGAACATCGATATGGAGCCCACACTGCCGCTGCCGCTGCCGCAGCCACAGCCACAGCCTCGCAGCCGCTTGGAGACGCCTCTCTATCAGTTCCTTGACAGCGCCGTGGACAATGCCTTGCGCAATAATCATGAGGTCTATGAGCACTTCATAAACGAACATGATCGCGATAATGAGCTCAGCGAGAAGGACAACAAGGATATGGAGAAGGACAAGGATATCGAAAAGGAGAAGGATAAACTAATGGATGCCATTGACATGCTGCCCATGCAAAAGGCAGCCGAGCAGGCCAAGGCCAAGGAAGACGAACTGCTCGTTAGCTGTCCCATACATCACGAGCATCGTACCAACATCAATGGCGATGTGGTCAACGATGATGTTGTCCTGGTCAACGAGTGTCACATTATCTAGGCATTATAATTAGTCTAGGCATAATTAGTCTTGTCTCACAATAGAAACCGTTAGTCTAGGCTAGTTTGCGTTGGTTAGTCTTTAGCTCTCAGTTAGCTTTATTTTTGGCCTATTCCAGATGTAACAAAATTTTAGTTAGGTTTCCGTTTAGTTAAGTTTGTAGAATTGCAATCAATCGATTCTCCACACAGACCATTCGTGTGTTCTCAAATTGTTTAGAGTTCCTTATTTTTTTGGGTTAACAAGTTCTACACTTGATGTCAAATGCTAAATAAAAAATATATAATAATGGGAATGGTCTTCCAGAAAAAATACGCGTAAAATCAATATTATATTATGGCTTTAATGTATTTAACTAATTCTTAATGGTGTCTTGCCATATGAAATTCTGCAATTGCCTTTAGGCATTGCTTATATATACTAAAAATATATAGCTAATATTACGAGCATTAAAATGCATATGGCTAATAGTTTTCCAGTCTGGCAAGAGTAGATTTGTTTATATATTTTGTAATATATTACAGCTGAGTATGGAAGATCTTAAATCTTGGACTACAATTTGTATTAATTTCAGTACTTATAAATGTTCAATATATGTGATAATCATAAAGCAGCCGAGATCCGACTGTTTAATAGTGCAATGTTGCTTTATCAAAGAGCTACAGAAGTTTTTAGACTAAAGCTTCTACTATAGTAATAACAACTTTATATATAGTATATCTAGTATATATTTCATCCTTAACAATAGAAAGAAATATTGTCCCGGTTTCATATATAATACGGATACAATACAGAAAAATATTTACTTCCTTCAGTATTTCAACTTTTATGCAACATTTCCCAGTAAATATTGAATTTTCTCGTTCCACAACGATTTCTAAGCAGAATTAAAGTAAAAGATTCCGTATAATTATCTACACAATTCGTGCATTACGCTGACAACATTCGGAAATAAATAGAAATTTATTCTGTAAAGCGAACTCCGCCATTTACACTTTAGCTTGAAGTTGACGCGCGATGAAATCACTTTAAAGTGCTTAGAATTTGTATATGTCTGTCTGAAGATTAGGCTAAAGCAGGTTCCGCATGCTCTAATCCTTTGCTCTGCCAAATCATTGACTTCAAAACTCATGCGCAACACATTCACTTGAGTTTTTCTCAGAATTATTTTCATTTTACATAAGTGAGCTAGCTGCTTGAGCGCGTTCGTGTGCGAATTTATGTCTCCTTATTCGTCATTGCTGCAAACTTCTTTCAATGTAGCTTAAAATAAAAGCAGAGCACGGCGAAGGCCTTCAGCCAATTGCCAAGTTATTTAAGTGTTCACCTGTTGCTCTGAATGCGTTGATAATAATTTCTGGGTAAAACTACTTATAGCTATGCGTATTTGCAGTGAAATCTTGGCATCTCATGAGGCATGTACAGTGAGTAACATTAATATACGGTTTATTTATTTATCAACTTCAAAACATATAATATTAATATTATATATATTATTAATATTAATATTAATATAATTAAATAATTCACAAAGATTGTACCTAAACTGAATATTAATGTTACTCACTGTTTATGAAACAAATAATATTAATATTATATATATTATTAATATTAATATTAATATATTTAAATAACTCACAAAGATTATACCTAATCCGAATATTAATGTTACTCACTGTATTTGAATATATATACGAATACAGTTAGTTTTATTGTTAATCTCAGCCTCATATCTGTATAACTTTGATTCGTATCTGAGACATATATACTCACACATATTCACATATACTCACACATATTCATATATACTCATCTACTCTGGCTTAATCATTCAAATCAAGTCTCTAAGACTTGTCTCATGCATTCGCCAGTGTCAAACTGAAAGATTACATACATGTCTTGTGGTTAGGTTGGCTGGAATGCTAAAATTATCTTGTGGCTTTCTAGATACCATAAATAATTTAACAATCAAATTCAATTTGAGCAAACATATCAGTTATTAAATGAAAATCCTCGGAGAAAATCCCAAATCTTAACTCAACTAAAATTGCCCAAATGCAGAAATGTCACATGAAAATCAATTTGCTTCTGTGCAGCTGTCGAAATTCGATATGCTGCGAGAGCAACTAATATATTTCACACACACACACACGCACACGCACACACACACACAGAGTCACAGGTTACTTGCGCCTGAGGCAAAAGTTTTGCCTGCTGTTGCCTGCTAAAAGCTGCTAATTTCTAATACAATAAAACTAATGTAAATTGCCACTTGACGTTTCCATGTATGTGTGTGTGTGTGTGCAATACATGTACAGTAAATGGAGCACATAATGTGCTGAAAGTCGAAAGAGCATTGAAAGACAAACCCCAGCCAAAGCGAATGTCATGGATGCTTTAGCAACAGCATAAATACAAATTTGCTTTACAAATGCACAGCAGCCAGAGTGGAAGAGGTGGCACGTATATATATGTGTATGTGTATGTGTGTGTGTGTGTGTGTGCTTCAGTTGATGTGTGAATGTTGCCTTAAGTGTACATTCAATGTACATAAGTGCATACAAATACGCTAGGGTAAGCCATTATACATAAGCTTATGTAACAAACATGTATGTATGTGTGTGTGCGTGTGTGTGTTTGTGTGAAAAGCAGAAAAGTGCAACGCAGCATTCGTAAATTGCGTAGCTGCTCTGCCATTGTCCCTGGGGTGTTAACTGGACTGTAAATGTGAATGTATGTGCGAGAGTGACGTGACGCCCCCCCCCCCGTCCACCCACCCAGCCAACCAATGCCACGCCCCACTAAGCCAAGTCAACGCTTGGCCATATTGGATTGGATTGGATATATATATGTGTATGTATATGTGTATGTATTGCTTTCTCTTATATCCGTATATATTTATATACAAATTGTAAATAATAAATGCAGTTGACAATGCATCACATTTGACTCTTGGCAACAGCAGCCATGGGTCGCCAACCTAGCAATGGCGGCGGGGGGCAACGATGGGGTGGTGGGTTAAAGTATAACAAGTGCATTAGCTAGTGAAATGCATGGCTTATGATTTCAATGACAGCAGCATCGTCATCAGCATTAACAGATAATAGAGCACTCGGCAAACCCTTCAAATGCGTCCATAAAGAGAGCACAACAAATGAGAAAACGAAGAAGAAGAACAACTACTACTACTACTACAGCTACTACTATATAATTTGATTGAATTTGCTTTTGAGTAGGAACCGAAACTGAAATGAAGACAATTTTCATTTGTATTCTTTTTTCTCTTCCACTGACTGCTCTCAACACAAATTTATGGCAAGCGGAAGCAAAGTAGGAGGGGCGGTGGGCGGGGGTTGGTGTGACAGTGGATGGGGTAGCCATAAGCAGGCCATCACCAGCAGGACAAAGCGTTGCTAGGGCTTCTATTGCCATTCGGTTAAGTTGTTGATACTTTGGCTGCTGTTGCTATTGCTGGCTCTGTAACGGTTATGGCTGTCATTTGGCAGCTTGTAATTATGTTTTTGCCACAAGTTGTTGCCACACCCATACACCCATACACCCATTGCCCTTCCCCCTTTTTGCTTGAAAAACTTGTTATCGAGATTTCATAGTCAAAAACCATGACGGCAACAGCATCAAATTCAATTGAACTGTTGAGTCAGCGGCAGGCAGTCAACTATAGACAACAGACACTCAAAGAAGTCACCAAGCATAGGCCACGCCCACTCGCACTTAAAGCCCATTAAAGCTAATTGGCTAAGCAAAGTTTTCCATGGAAGAAAATGGCAAATATCAAGTATCAGCCAAATGGTTTAATAAGCAGCCTCGAAATTTGTTTACTCTCAGATTCTTCAAACATCATTAAAGAACTTTTAAAGTGGAAATTTAGATTATATTATGGGCTATAGCATAGATAAAGACTTGAGCTTATAAATGTGCCTGTTATGCTTACGATTTTTCTTGGCTGTTTAGCTGAAGATTTTGTGTCGTTTTCTTGTTGTTTTGCTGCTGCCTAAGCTGCTGACCCAGAGATGGCGCTAAGATGAAAGGAAAGCGAGCTGAAATATAGTTATTTAATACGGGACAAGGGTAGGAGATGGGGAAACTCTAGCTGCTGCTGTTGGAAAACTTTTAGTTTGAGAGAAGTGGGGGTAGTAAGAGATTTCATATAATTGGTATATATGTATATACATATTTATCAAGATATATACATGAACTACTTTAAACTTTAGCTTCTTAAGCACAAATTTTAGATATTTTAAAAGCTTAAGAAGTCAGTTCCTTAGCAGCTCGAATTGCAGTTTCTTTGTCAGTTTATTATATATTTTTGTTTATATTTATTGCATTTATTTTATTTTTGAGCTGGCCAATAATGGACGCTTAAGCTAGTCTTTCCATTTAAAAATGTTTCCACTTAAGATTATGTTAACTTGTACTCATATTATTCGTAGGTACTGCAAATTGAAATGCCGTAAGCTACTGGCCAACAGATGGCGCTAAGCTTAGGGACAAACAAAAATAATCACAATTTTGTCAAAACAAACCTGGAAAAATAATCCCAAATTGTTGGTACTGTGCTAAAGATAAGCCTCTGGCTTAATGGCTGTGCTCTTATTTAATAAAAGAAAAGAAAATGTAGATATGTGTATACAGAGAAACAGAAATATAAAAATATTCATATCTATGTATATTAAAAAAAATATATATAAATGAAGAAATCAACATTTTAATATTTTATTATTATTTTAATATGAAAACATAATAGTTAATATTTTTTTAAAGAAATATTTATTTTTATAGATACATAAAAAATTGTTTCAAATATATTTATCTAAAAATGTACAATATATGTATATATTTTATATTTCTATAAATAATATACTAATATATTAATAGTCATTTATTCGAAAATATATAAATATAAAAGTACGTTAATATTTTCATTTTATATATATTTACTATATATTTAACCTTTATAGACAAATTTTTAGCATTTTTA